ATATCAACAGAAGAATTAAGTCATTACAAAATGGAATCTAACATTTGTACCCCCATAATATGATGAAATAAAAAAAATAAAAATAAAATAAAATGAAAAGAATCTGTGCCATATGTGTTGGGTGAAGCAAATCAGCATTTCTATGACAGATATCATATAAAAAATAATAGCTGGGAACTGCAATTCTACTTTTCTCCATTATTACAAAATCAGGACTTGTCTTGATAAATATTAAGGTCTGTGTGTTTGTTCTCTTTGGTTTTCATGTCTTCTCCTTTTATAGTGGGTAGAAACCCCACTTGTCATTTCCCTTCCTCCCACATGTCTTCTCATATCTTTTCTCTGTCTTCCTGAACATTCAAAGACATGAACCAAAGGGAGAAAAAGGAGGGGTAAGAGCATAAGAAAGGATCAAGATTAAGAAGGTACCTACAGTTATTTTTCTTTTTCCCAAACCCTGGAGAAGATGTTTTTTCTTTAACTTAAGGATTATCCTTTTCCTTGAAACTCCTTTCTATCTGCACATCCCTTGCATGTTAATATTAGATATATCTTCATACTGACTTCTAAAGTATAGTTTTCTCCCTATTAATGCATCTATGAAAATTAATAATTCACTCTTAATTTTCTAATATTATGACTCATGTGGACAAATTATTGCTTATATTATACTACATATCCCTCCATTTTTTTTTTTTACATTCGTTCCTTTCATCGTTTTTGAAAGCCTAGTGTGAGAAAGGAAGCATACTAGGTCATAGGGATATATCAGTTAGCAAAAGAGAGGCAATCCCTCATCAATCTCCTAGTTAAATGCATAGAGTTACTAAACAAATGATCTCACTAACAGCTAAGCAATTTCAAAAACTGCAAGAGCTATTTGATCTAGTCGGGTAGATCAGGAAATGATTTTCTAAAGAAGTAAAAAAAAATAAAGTCTAAAAAATAAAAGGGAACTGGGGAGGACAGTCACAGGCTTCATGAGAATGGTGCCACCAGGTATTCTCTTAGTTTTGAGCTTCATTAACTTTAGGCTGTTCTCACTAAACACTTGTAAAATAGTGTAGGATCAATTATAATCATTATTTCAATTTTAATTTTTAGTATAAATATCATCAATTATTTCCCATTTTTCATTCGTTTATTTCACCCATATTAGAGGAGACATACTATATTAGAGATTCTTTTCAGTGTTAAAAATTCACTTAAACCTTTTAATCTTAATGTAAAACTTTCTTTATTTTTACCCACATTTTAAAAACCTCTCCTGAAGTAAATATTATGTAAAATGACTAACAAGCATTTTATGTTACATAAAATTATAAGTTTACCCATTTTAAATGACCTTCTAAAATATACTGAATTATGTTATATAGATATGCTATTCTACTAATATATATTGTAAACTATAAGATGGATTTTCTAACAGCAACAGCTAAAAATATATTAGTAGTTTCTTTACACACCACAGTGTGACATGTACACCTCACTTTTGATAAGACTATAATTTTTAATACACAGATTTTTTAGCTACCTTGGTCTTATAAAAGAAAACTAAAAATGTTTTATAGCAAATAGTTCAGATTATTGAATCCAAATTTTCTGAGTATATGACAATTAAAAAAAAATCTAATCATATTAATTATTCTAATATTTATATATCTGTATATTCATAAGTATAGGTGGATTTTTAAAAAGGGGTGGATAAAAAGGGTAGATGAAAATATACATTCTAACCATCAAGCATAACCAATATAATTTACTCGTGGCTGTAGAATCAGAGTTTCAAATGTAGCTTCATTTCTCCTCCTTAAAACATACACTGTGATTTACTGATGTTTTCACAAAGCTAGTTCTCAAACAATTTTTCCATCATTTAAAATACAGGCTTCAATCTGAGAGGAGCACTGAATACTGCCACTGAAGTTCTATTGTTTGATGTTGTTTTGTCAGTTATGCTGATGCCATGGAACCATGGAACAGTGCCACTATTTTCAAAAACATCCAAAAATAGAAGGATTTGCATGCAGAGGTTGTTCTAGAAAAGTCTATGATAGTGGTTTATGCTTTAAAAATAGTTACCACAGAGTGGTAATTTTCCAATCTGTCCACAAAAAGTTCAAGTGTACTACTGAATTTTTTTAAGTTGTAAAAGATTGATGTGCACATATCCTTAAACATAGTATATAAAAGCAAATACTAGGTGGAGATTCACGTTATTAGATCACTCACGTGAAGAATATTCTTTGTTTTTGGATTAATAGTGCAATTTAAAATTGAAAGCCATTTTCTTTAAAAATGTATTCCCTAAAACACTAAAGTCAAAAAAGCAAATGCAAAACCATGTGAAAAGTCCTCCCTCCTTGAATAATAGGGATTTATACAAATTTTATTGAACAAGAAGATTACTAAATCTTAAGATGTTTTAAAAATCTATTGATGTGGGGATCTCTATGAGTAGCAGGTAGGTTTGTGTCTGCCATGAACAGTTGATAAATATGATTCACTGCAAGTGTCATGTGGTAAGAGATCTTACATTTCTTTTAGAGACTAATAATTGTGGAGCATTTTCAGCACCATCCCTTACCACCTATTTCCACTGCCTCAGTCATATATAGATCGTCCATACATATATAGACATGATACTCATATACGGTACTTATATACATATAAATGTGGTACTCATATGTGGTAACATATTTATTTGGTACTCATATATGGTACCTAAATACAAATATAGACATGATATTCATATATGGTACCTATAAACAAATATATATATGTGGTACTCAAATATGAGACCTATATACATATATATGTGGCACTCATATGTTGTACCTATGTATGCATATATATGTGGTAGTCATGTATAGTACCTATATACATATATGTGGTACTCATACATATATGTACACATGGTACTCATTCATATATGGTATTTATATATAAACAGATACGATACTCATATATGATACTTATATACATTTATTAATCCTTATTAAAGTAATGTTAAAACTACAATATGGTTTTGTTATTATGAACAAATCTAGATTATTTTCTGGACTTTGACATGTTCTATACACAGCTCTGATTCATTTGGCACTTGAGGGCATCAGAATCTTGACATTTTGAGATTCTGTGAGGGTCTCTGTGGCACCAAAGATTTTGACCTACAGCTGTTCCATAGAAAGTAATTATTTGGGTTTCAGTAGTGATTCTGAATTATCAAAGAAGAGGGTAATAATCACCAACTCTACCCCATCATCAAAATATGATTTATACCTAAAGAATCCTATAGTCTTCTACCCAAAAAAAGCATACCACCTATTTGGTCAGATCTTCCAGAATCATCCCACTTTCCAAGTTCTGCCTAGTCCTAGGCAGAAGAACCATATAGATCTCAAAGAGCCCAGGTCTGGTCTTAGTGTACCCTGCTTATAGGTCATACCAATTAGTATATATGCTAGCTCCCAACAGGCCCAAATTAACCCTTGTTTTTCCTGATATATTTATATTATGATATTTTAATTTAATTGGAAAGGTGTCAAAATCAAATAAAGTGAATTACTTATTCATTGTTGTTCCCATTCCACTTCATTCTTAGCAATCATCACAATGGTTTATTGATAATAATGTATGTGTTTGTCTTCCTATTAAGACTGTAAACCCATGCTGGGCAGAAATAATGATTCTTTAATCTTCACATTATCAGCATCCAGATCCATGACTGACAAAGAGAATAACATAAATAAATACTTGTCTTATTCAAAGAAATCAAATAGAAAGATGTATTTTTATAATCAAACTGGATTCCATAATTGAGGTAATTCTGTGCTTTTAGATGTAGAAAGCTCTAAAAAATGTTTTGTATGGATTTATCAGTTGTATGTATGTCAGAATCAAACATGCTATTATAGATGGCTTATGAATCTGTATAATAGGAAATTATGATCACTGACTATAACATTTAACTTTAAATATTTGCATTGCCAAGTCATGAAACACTAATGCAATTAATCTTGCATTTGCAATAAATTCCTAGAATCACAAAATAATAAAGTGATATGGAATTCAATTTTTCTGTCCATTTAGATTCTAGAGCTCATATGAGTATAAATGACTTATATACCTAAAAATATGAACTTATCAAATCTACCTTTTCAAACTGTTACAGGAATTGAGGGAAAAACAGAATTGTGCATTAAGATGCTATATATACTTTAATGGAAAAAGTAGAACGATGTATATATTTTGCAGTGTACTGACACCTAACCACACAAATTATAACTATAAGTCAGCCAATAAAAGCACATTTAAGAATCTGTAAACTATTTATAAAAATAAAATTCCATCTACAGCATGGAATTAACTATGGTTTGAGGATAAGACACATACAAAACAGCCTAAATTTCCCGGAGTCAAATTTTGAATTTAATTCTAGTTTTAACAAGTGCCATTGCCTGTAAAAGCTGTTTGAAAAAAAAATGATGCATTTAATAGACTCAAAAATAATTGTTCTGAGACTACATAAAAAAGAACCAGAAGACAATGAGCCTCAGCTGAATTTGAATGTTTACACTGATACTTACCACAGTTACCAACAAATGTTTATTGTATAGCTGCTCAAATTAATGGAAAAATATGTTTATTGAAAATAAGATCAATTGCTTAGAAAATGCTGAGACAGACCTATAACAGGAAACAAAACCCACAAAGGTCTCTTTCTCACTTCATTTTTTTTCCTTCCTTTTGTAAATATTGAAACTGAAGGTTTGTCATATTCTAACATGTTTAGCCCAAATTTGACACACTTTGTTACAGATGCATAAACAATATTATTTTGCGTCACAGTGGAACAAAGAGCAAGCTCTCCCAGTTATTAGCAAGTACAAGAGGAAATATTTAGATTTGGAGGTGTGTGAAAGTGAAGGGAGCATCCACCTAGATGCTGGGTAGGGAATATACAGTTAGAGAACACGTGCTCCAAGGAGCAACCGTACCTTGTTTTTCTCTTGCAGATCAATTTGTGAAATCTTGAAATCAGGATCTTGAGAGTTTTCACTTAATCCATCTTTCCTATCCAGGAGCTCTTCCATTTCTTTTACCCGGATCTTGAGCCTTCTATTTTCTCTCTCCAGACCTTGTTTTTCTGTTTCAAGTATTTCCCTCTTCTCCCACTCCAAGGCATTTTCAGCCTGCAATCTCTCTAGCTAAACACAGAAAGTACAAAAAATAAAAAAAATTAAAAAGCAGTATGTAGTATTTGTAATTCTCCAAAGATAAGGCATCCAGCACACAGGTCCCATTAAGCAAGGTTCATGGAAATGTCTATTTATATAATTATAAAAAGAAAATTTCTATTTGTTTGAAAACTTCAGAACAACACAAAAGTTCTAAAGCCAGAACACATCCTAGATAAATATAACTTTCCTCTTGGTTCATGTGACTATCTCTGTAACCATGTGGACTATATTAATCAAATAAATATGTAGGTACAAAACTGCTGATTTTTTGGCAATAATACCCACTCTCAACTGGTGAACATGTATCAGTCGAAAAGACACAAAATCATTTCTAGGGAAATTTTGATTGGTTATAGTTCATTTATTCACTCACTCCTTTCTCTGGGGAAGAAAAAAACATATATATGTTTGTATATATCTCTTTGTCTTTCAGGTTCCAAGTACTGTGCACTATGCTAGCACTATGGGTAAAGACAAGTGAATATAATAGAATATAATACATTCCATGATTACACTATTATAAAATATAGTCAAATGCACAGGAGTGGGGGGCTGATTTGATTTTCAGGGAGTAGAGGTTAGTGAATCATGTCCCATAGGCCAAAATTGGCCTGCCTATTTTAGTATGTCCCATAGTATGTCCCATGGTTTTCACTTTTTAATGGTTAGAAGAAATCAAAGGAAGAATATTCTTTTAGGCACATTAACATTATATAAAATTCAAATTTGAATACCATAAATACAGGTGTAATGGAAAACAGTCATGCTCATTTGTTCACATGTTGTCTATGACTGCTTTCACACACAATGGCTGAGTTGCACTGTTGAGACAGAGACCATATGTCTGGGAAAACCCAAAATATTTCCTATGTGGTCCCTTACAAGAAGAGTTTGATGACATCTGCTCTCGTCCTGTGGTTCTTAACCAAGGCTGCATGTTAGATTCACTTGGGGCAATACTATAATTACCAGTGACCAGAAACCACCTTTAAAAGTTCTGATTTAATTGATTTAGGATAATGTTAATGTCTTCCTTGGTAAATTTTTATTATTTTAACTGTTTCTATATTTCATGTTTAAAAAGGCAATATCAAATATATTAATTTACTATAGTTTTATTACATCTGAATATTTGCTCATTATTATAATGAGGTTAAATTATATTTGCCTGCTATGATTTTCTTTGTTGTTCTGGATATCATAGGTAGAAATGATTAGTCACTTATTAGCTCTGTAATGAATTCTAATTCAGAGCTATGAATTCTAATCCTGACTTCACCATTTAGTCTCTGGATAAATTTAGTCAGGTAACTTCATCTTCTTTTAAATGTGGACAATTTATTCTCTAATCTGATAGGGTTTTTGAGAAGTGAAATTAATCAAATGTATTGGAAAGTACTTTCCATAGTAATATACTACTTAGAGGAAAAATATTAAGATGGTAAAAATTTCAGGAAAAATTATATATGTATTTCTTTCTCTCATGTGTTTGGGCATATATATGCACACATGTCAAGTATTTATTGCACAAATCTGTGCAGTGAAGAAAGTTTTCACAATAGAAAAACTATCAGAATATAGTCCTGGTTCCATCAGTTACACATTGGCTAATTCTGAACAAGACACTTATTTTTCTATGTTGCTAAGTTTTCTTTTTGTTTTTCTTTCTTTTTTTTTATTTCAGCATATTATGGGGCTACAAATGTTAAGGTTACATATATTGCCCATGCCCCCTCCCCCCTCAAGTCAGAGCTTCAAATGTGACCATCCCCCACACATTGCACATCTCATTCATTGTTTTCTTAATAGTAAAATTAGCATGAGAACACCAGCACCACCAAATTTGTGGTATTGTAAAGACTGAATGAGACTAACTATTCAAAATGTTTTGTAAACTATATAAGATGGTTAGAATATGAGACATTTTAAAACTATTTGTTAAGGATAAAAACTGTAAATTATTTCTTTTTACATTATTGGTTTTAAATGGCTTGATTGCAATGTATTGTATAGTATTACACTGTTATAAAATATGTGTCTGTGACATTTTAAATTCTAAAAAAGTTCCAACACAGTCAGCATTAAGAAAAATATTGGGCTTCAATACTATCATTTGAAATGAATTTTGATATAAAAGTCTAAAAACTGCTTTTTCATATCTTTATAATTGTACCATTATTGTAGAAAAATGTTCTGTTCCCGAATCTAAGAGATGTTCTGGCTTCTAAAATGCAGGAAACCAAAATTACATTCTTGGCATTAGATTCATTTACCAATTAAATGTAATAAACTAAGAGATCAAATATTAGATGATGTGGTTTGACATTTGGGGTGCCTATTTGGGGATATAAGGTGAAAATAGTATTTTACAATCTAATTTAGAAACATTACATTACTTTCATTGTTAAGATTAATGCTTAAACTTTCTATCATTGTATCACTTATCAGAATGAAAATAATAAAGTTGCAATAAAAAGTCAGCAACTTAGTGATGAAAAATTATTTTTAGGAGAGCAAATATATTTTTGGACAAAGACAAATATGATGTTATGTCAAGGCTTTGTAAAGTTGTAGGGTTTAAAAGAAATTGCTTGACTACTTTATAACAGATAATGGGTAGAACTAAAGTTTTAAACAAGTAGTAGATGGTGGGAATGAATAAAAGCTAAATCTTACATTTTTTTCATTTTCAGTAAACTTTTATTAAAGTATAACATGTGCACAAATAACGTGTTGAGTTTAAAGAATTTTCACAAACTAAACCTACTCATATAATCAGCACTACAGAAAGACCTTCTCATTTACTAGTAGACCCTCTCTTCCCACCTCCCCCTCTCAAGTGTAACCGCTATCCTCAAATCTAATGCCACATTCAATAAATGGTGCTGGGAAAACTGGATAGTCACATGTAGAACAGCACTGTTATTTCTCCACAGTAAGAGATGGTTGCCCATACTTTCCTGAGAACCTAATGTATTCCTGGTAAAAAGTCATATAAGTGATTTCCTATCCTTACAATAATTCAGCAAGTTTGTGTTATACATGAGGGAACTGGGGTTTCAAGAGTAGAAGAAACTCTCAAAGTGAGCAAGGATTCCAAGCCACGATTAATTCACCTGAAGTTCTGTGATCCCATTCCTGAATGCATCCCACCCACATCAAGTTAACAAGATGGTGGTAAATGTATGTATATCCTCTTGCAATATTAACTGTCACATTCTGAATCCATGGCATTGTATTCTAGCAAAGGTTTGTTTATGTTTTTGTTTGGTTTGATAGATTTTGGAGTTCTTCCTCCTCCTCCTCCTCCTCCTCCTCTTCTTCTTCTTCTTCTTTCTGTCTCTCAGAAAATTCAGAAGAAAGGAAATTTCTGTAGAATCACATTCAAAAGTCTGGCAACTCAAATTTAAATGCGCTCATATTATTGATGTCACAACCTGGATCTTTTAACAGTCTTTTTCTAGAATGTCCTGGAATCACAAATAAGAATTGCAGGAACTCCCCCCTAAATGAAAGTCTATGTCCAATCTGTCCATAGTTAAATATAAGCCCAGTGATAACTTAGTCCCTGTTTGACCAAAAGTCAACAGCACAATGAATGATTTTAGTAATATGCAATGCCACATACATTTTAGTTACTTTAATTTTTTATTTTAAATCTTTTGAGAATTTCTAAGACTACAAATTCCTTCACTATTTTGAAAGAAAATGTATGCCGATGTCATATGAGAGAAACCAAAATGCATATCTCAGATTGAATGTGAATCAAAAGCAATGTAAGCAATATTTTTAAAAATGTGTGTCTATGTCTAAATAAGTCAGTGTTGTATATTAGAATGGCAAGAGAAAGGGGACATATAAAGTTTTTGGTTATGCTCTGATAGAAAAAACTTACAGACCCCAGAAGTAAATGTGGGTATTTTAGACCCCTGATTTTGCAACAGCCAGGCACTGTCTCAAAAATTCTTAATGGTGTTACAAAATTTAATGCCCAAATATATTCTCCATTACAATGTAGAAGTCAATCATCATCTACACATACCCAAGGAACTATTAAGATAAAAATACAAATAAACATGATGCTTTTATCCCCAAAATAAGAAAATTGTTTCGTGAGTGTGTTATAGTACAACCAGAGAAATAGCTTTGAGCTAAAACTGAAACAGTAAAAAAGATGCTTTTCTGCAAGTCTCCTGCCAAACATTGATATGCTACAGTGGATTTCTTATGAACTCAGGAAAGTGTGACACTTTACAGAATGTGAGAAGTGAAATACAATGGAGCTCATAAATGTGCATCTTGTTTCAGCGATAATAGGAACCAGGGGTTTATATAAGGTATTTATAATAGAACTTAATTTTACCAGGCACTAACTACATCCTCAAGTGTACTCTATTACTAGGAAGAAACATGCAAATACAAAATACTTAACAAGATCTATTTTGGGAAAATGAATATAAGACTATTGTAATTAAGTATAAGGGGTAAGCACTCTGTTTCCAAAATTTCTCCTAAAAATGATTTAAAAAGTAAATAAATTCTCTTGGCACAAGAGTTGCCAGACAGGTCTTCTCAGAAATTTTGGCACCAGAGTTGCTAGACAGGTCTTTCTCAGAGGTTTTGATTGCTCTCTATCAAAAAAAATATAAAAGGTGCTGACACTGTCTAAAGCATGGTTTTCTGCTCAACTGAGACGATGACTTGTGAGAACCCATATGTTTGTTTTTTCTAAGGAATTAACAACCATTTTACTTACAAGTTATGTAAGTACTCTGATGGTTTAAATAAAATAGCAAGTTATATTTAATTATTAATATTGAATTGTAAGAAAGAAAAAAGTTTACAAAAATTTACAGGGAAAAATTCGTGGAAAAGAGATGGTAAAGTGAATTAGAGCCAGAGAATGATGCTAAAAGAAAGAATGAAATCATGGCAAACGTATTAATGAACACCTCCTAATTCATCAC